AGACGCTGAAAAATAATGAGGAGACGCTGAAAAATAATGAAGAGACGCTGAAAACGATGCAGAAACGCTGGAAAAGATGTGGGCGTAGTTCCATATCGTATATTAAAAAGAGAGTTTGTTGTTTTTATTAGCATGTCGTCATGCTGAAAAGTTCACCGATTGCATTTGTTGATATTTATGATGATATTTGGACGAAAAATTTACAACAGCATTGTTGTTAATGTGAGGGAAATTAGCTGCTAAAGAGCTTACCGGTTTAGGAAACTTGCAGCATTGTTGACAATTATGACAGGAATTTGCTGCAATTGTTGCTGTAAACTCTACCGATTTTGGAGATCAGCAACGTTGGGTCAGCGTTATCGACATCCACGGCTCGTTTCCTGCCGTTTACCCCTGAAAAACCATAATTGAGGAAGTTTGTTCGTCGGCGGTAACAGTACAAATTATACTATATTTATTTCTAAGTAAACTTTTACTTATCATTAAAAAGTATTTTAATTTTTATAATTATTAAATTTTATCATAAATTTTATATATATACTATTTTATTTATTATAAATAGTCTATTATTCTTCAAAATTAATATATAATAATATTAATTATTAAAAGAATAATTATTATTGTAAATTCTAAATATTTAAGAAATATTAAATAATTATTAAGATAATAGTGATTATTAAAAGAAAGATAATTATCTCAATAATTGTCTGATTAATTAAAAAATATAAACAGTTATTATTTGGTCAAGAGAAATTATAATGTAAATTATTAATCTTAGAATTAGTATAGAATTAGTATAGTAACTAAAAACTGTATATAATAGCACCTTCAAGTCTCTGAGAAGATATGTTTTAATCTAATAAAATATAAAGTTCTTGCTTGTGATAACAAATATTACTTGTGAATACACTGTTATTTCAAGTAAATGCTTTTCCACTTAAAATAAGCCATTATTTTTCTTTGATTTGATTTTGTTTTCTCTATATAGGCTGTATCAATAAGTTCTGTTGAATTAATTTTGTTTTCATAGACAGATTGTGTCAATAAGCCCTGTTGAATTGTCTTTTAGTATTGAGCTTTTCTTGAACAGGCCATATCAATAAGTCCTGTCATATTTGTAAATATATCAAAATAAATATTTATTACAATGAATTGATTCTTGTCACAAAAGTGATTTCATTCTATTTACCTTTCAAACACCCCATTCTTTTCCTTCTTATTGTTGAGAAAGGTCGACTTGTGTACAAGTCGCCACAGGAAGTCTTTAGGATACTCGAAGAAACTCTTCGAATCGAAAAAATTCAGTTTAGCTTTCACCCCGTTGTGAAAAATTCCTTGATCAATCGATTATTATAACAAATATAACATATGTACATGTATCTGCTATAATTCTATCAATTTGACAATCGAATTTCAAATCCTAAATCACAAAATAAGAATGGAACTATATTCATTGATTACTTGCAGAATCTCGTTTTTAGACCATAAAATTAATTTACTATTTTTTTCTTTTTTCTCGGCATATCTTTATTTTCTTTGATTTCTGCGGTATATACTACAAACCAACACTTGTAGAGTCTAAACATTCGATATAATTATAATTAATATGAAATGTAACTATGATCTGTATTTCGAAATAAAAAAGCACCTGTATTATTTGGAATTGAAATTAATTTTGTAGTAGATTCATTTGAGTTTGGATTTTGTATTTTTTCTAGTTTAAGACTGTGTTTTAGGAGATTCTAAAGAGTTGTAGTACTGAAAATTCAAAGTGCTCAGTTTCCAATCAGAAAGTGTCAAAGATTCTCAGTAGTTGGTAACAAGCCAAAATTTTTCAACAATAAATTTGCAGCGTCCCGGATCATTGTTTGATATCTTAGGTCGTACTCCTTTATATCGTAATTTCGCCTACCAAATAATCATTCACCTGTTAGAATCTCATACATGACAAATCTATAAATGTTTGCAGTTTCAGTGTATAGCTTTTCATATAAGACCTCTGTATTAATATAAGGAAGTAATCCGCAAATTTCTTTGATTATATTTATTAGGCAAGTACAACGTCGATAATTTGAGCTTGGTTAGGGCTCCTAGATTCGATTCGGTTTAATTCAAGTTCGGTCGAACCCAAACCGAACCGAATTAGAACAGAGATTTTGTTAATTTTTCGAATCTAACCCGAACTCGAACTTGCAATGCCCGAACCGGACTCGAACATCATTATGAGTCCGGTTCGAAATACATGAACATGTTCGAGTTCGAACATCGTTTGTAATAGACCATTAGTATAGGTTCTAATTGGTTAGAGATTATACTTGACTGGTTATTCCAACCAATTGGCTATATTGGAGAAAGTTGCCGAATTCCTTGAGTCAATTAAGGATCTCACGGTCAAATGTCGGTTAGTTTAAATAGTATAGCCTGCTGGATTATTCACCTCTTCAACACCATTATTGATCATGTCGAAGATGCAATTTCAGACACAGAGGCAGAGGTAGAGAATGGACTTGGTAAAATTGTTAGGTGAATTTCGATTGCATTTACTAATTTACCTTTAACGAATTTAATAATTAGTTCCACCACTTGTCACGACGGCTACAGCAGCAAAAGAAAAGTTAGTTCAGTAATATTCTAAAACAAATACAACTTGATTTTATGTACCGCATTAGATCCAAGAAGAAAGTTTCACTATTTCACAAAAAAAGAATCTCCGAATTACGAGTTTGATGGAACAAAAAAACTAAGTTGTTTCATTTTAAATATTTTATTTTCCAACGCTTATATAACAAATTAGCTCTTTAGAATGTGCACTCTCTTTGAAATGAAGTATACGCTGACCACCGCTCCCACGCCTAATTACAGTTTCTTATCGGACTCTAGCCTTAAAATTCCATGAAGTCAGTTACATAATCCATACTGAATACAGACTTTGATGATGAGGATGAAAAAGGTCTTGACTAATCGAACGCTATATCTCTGAGAAGCCGACCAATAAAGAAATCAGTGTGCTAACGTGGTGGAAGGTAAGCGATAATATATTGCCTATTAAAATAATAGACTGAGATTGAATAACATAATATTTAGGCACGCTAGACGCAGTTTTCTCACCTTGCCCATGAGGTTGCGACTACCTGGAAATTCCAGCATTCTCCGTTGCTTACGAGCGTGCCTTCTCTGCGGATGGAAACATAATTACGAATAAAATGCCAAAGACGCAAGAGCAGCACAGTGTTTTCGGTCATTGATGCAGGGACCGTTGAGAGGAAAGTTGGATAACTATATGTCATAGATTTAGTTAGTATCACTGGTCGAACAGGATTGTTTTTACCTGGGCAAAATTCGATGTAAAAATATGGGTAATATCACGATGAATCCAAAGGCAAAAATATTGATATAAATGATAAGTTTCGGTTAGGGTTAGTGTCTGGATCTGGGTTAGAATTATCTGGCAAATAAAATTGCTTTATAGGTATAATTTCGAGATATAAGCTATTTCTCAAAAATAAGCATTCGTTTTGTTTATTTTTGATATTGCGTTTTAATTGGTCATCAAGAATGGGTTAGATCATGGTGAATCAAGAACGAAAAATTTGCGGCTGAGTGACTAAGAAAGTACTCAGCATGCAATTTTCGATATATATATTTTGGATAGCTTACCAAGCGCGTAAATTACAAAGGCCAGTACTCTTAACAATTATTACAAACAATTGACCGTAATTTCGACCATGATTTTATCTTTGAATATATGACCTGATTTTATCTGTTCTAAAATACAGGTAAGAATATTATGGAATTGCAAATTTTTTGAAAAAAACTAACCCATATTTTTGCCATGAAATTTTGCCCAGGTGAAAACAGCCCTGTTCGACCAGTGTATCATAACAATTCGAGATTTTAGATCCCATCTTGGAGTTCACTTTATAAATTGATTTTAATGTTCTGTATTTTATAGAAATAATTTATAACAATACACTAATTTATATATGTGTTGTGCTAAAGAAGAGCCGTATCGTTAGTTCTATATACTTTAATTTAAATCAATTATTTTGTTCGAATAAGGTATCTCAGATCCAATGTTGATATCAATTTCTTTAGAAACATATGGTAAAAGATAAAAATTGTTAGATTTTTTTATAAAGATATTTGTGAATTATTACATGAAATACAGTCTAACCTCCCTATAATCATACATTTGGGATATGAAAAACTATGATTATAAAGAGGTTGGAGTCAAATTCTTATGCTTCATAAGAAAATTTTACTTTGTAATTATATGGTAGGTGACTATATGGAAGTTCGACTGTATCGGAAGTCGTCCCTAAAAAAACTAAAAATGTTCAGTATGAATTAACTTAGAATTTTGTATCTTCATCTTGACTGATAGTATTGATTGAAATCTTTCCCCGTTTATTTGATTCTTCCAACACATTTTCAATAGGACGTTTATTGTAGTTTTATGATTTTTCAAATTTAGTTTTATTGAAAATCCTAATATTTTAAACCGTTAAGACTCTGTTGTTATTAACGAAAAAAGTTTACGTTGTGTTTTTCTTTTCCATCATTCTCAATATAAATATCAACATGATAAAATAAAACAAATGACGTATAAGTAAAATTTATAATCAACTGATAATCATTACGGTTACTTGAGCGGTTAAAGCTATTCCATCACGTGATATATCTTAAAAATATTAAAATGTATTTTTAACGTTAGGGTTAGGGTCAGAGTTGTGAAGGAGGTCAAGGTTATATTTAAAATTGCCTTCCCGACATTTTTAATTAGTGCTCCAAGAAAAATTTAAGCACCTATTTTCTGTATTTTTTAATTTTTTGTCTTGGTTTCAAAATGTTTTGCCGGGTTGATTAAAAATTTACGCATCCTCATTGGTTTGTTTTTCGGACAGATTATCGGATGGACTACGCTTTAAACAATCCCCGTTACTTGTTACAGTCGTACAATAGCTAGCCATCATTTGCTTTATTTTGTAAATTGTACTTGTAGATTATCGCTATATACATATTCTCGAGTTGCAAATAAGTACGTACTTTAAATTAGAGATGTTATCCAGTCCCAAATGGTCCTAATGGTCCCATGAAAATTACTAGTTTTAGAGATAATTTTTTTCTCACAAGTCACTAATTAAATTTGTTTATAACAATATTTTAATATGACTTACTTATTGAAAATAAGTGATAAAATGTCTCGAGAAATCAGAATCCTTTAAAATGTAGGATTTAGGATGGATTTAGGATGATCCCAGGACTGAAGCAGTCCCAGGAAAATTGCTGATTTTAGAGATAATTTTATTCTATAGACTATTAATAAAATTTATTGATAACAATGTTTTAAGGAGAGTTACTTATTGTAATTAAAACAATTTGATTTGTCTACTTTTAATACTGATACTGTATTTTTTTTGGAAAAAAAATTATTTACCTTCATTCGGGAACACACAATTTTAAGTTAAACGATAATACGCATGATTTATGTTTAGAAATAGAAAGCACCAACGTCAGTTGCGATTGAAATTAACTTCACAGTGAAGTTTCGACTGGTGCAAACTGCGTTTGAATGGATTTGTTGTTTGTTTATATTCGTAGGAATACTTTTTTTGCAATTCCATCTTCTTGTCAAGTTCGCCCTTTCAGCCTTTGTATTTAAGACACTCCTTAATTTCTCGTCTGTTTTAGAATTTAAAGAGCCATAGTATTGGAAATTTCAAAGTACGTATTCAGTTTCCATTTTACGAGTTCAGATTAGCGGCTTAGCAATTGGTTTGTTTTCCGAACATTTTTAATAATAAATTTGCACCATCCAAGAATATTATTGGTATTATAGGTAGATAATGATCACGAATCCGCCATCAAATGGTTGTTCATCTATGACAACCTCATACGTAATCCCAAACCTATAAATATTTGCAGATTCACCTCTGGAATCATAAGAAATACTCCGCAAATTTATTATCAGATTTTTCTATATCTTCTGGTTTGGTAAGTCCAAAATCAGCAATACTAGCACTAGTCTATATTAATATCTTGCCGGGGTGAAATTCACGATGCACAAATTCCTCAGTGTGAATTTTATGTCAAAATATTGATAATATCGAATTAAATATCTTTAGTCTTTTCTCCAAGTCAATTTTTGTCTGTGGGAATTATATATGTTTCGCCATGTTTTGCATGGGTAATTACTATCGAGTATTCATTAGTTATTCTATAATAATTTATTATATTACTAAAAGAGCTGTCTGAAACTAATTTTGAAAAAGTTAAAACAAAAGTTAATATGTTTACTCTTCAAAGGCGTTCATTTTACCTCGTTTGTAAACTCGGATGTAATTTGTTTTGAACTGTGTAATGACTTCAACACAACGTCGTGTTTTTCAGGTCGTTAGATTGGTTTTTTAAGAACCCAATAAAGGGATTCAAAAACATTGGTAAATCTTTCAAAAGAGATACATTTGAATAAATCTTTACATTGTTTGTTGCATTCTTTTATTAGATATTCGATATCTTTGTTTTTCAGCTTTATAAATTAGTTTGATTACTCATTTTTTTTGACAATCGTAGCATTTACCACAATCATGAGTATTCGACGCTTAGATGCCATCTTTGAGTTTATTTTATTAGCCGTGTTTTATTTAAAAAACAATTTATGCATGAAAAATGACGCATGCCCTATGTCGATCCTACGGAATTTCCTGGAAATTCCAAGAAATGTTCATGAACTTTCCGGAACCAGTTCCCAAAATATATAAGGAATTATTGTGCATTTTTCGAATCAATTCCTGAAAGCTAATTTCCAAGTTATTCCATAATATTTTTGCTTTTTTTATAGACATCATTAGTATTTTGGTAGAAGAGTAACATTGCTTTCTATGCATAAAAAATGAGACAGAACACAACAATAGAAGTCACAAAAAGCTTCTTTTTAAATACATGTACATGCACATACTAATACAAGCTAAAGACTGCCAGTTACACAACTTGTTTCAAAATTTTAAAAATGCAAACATTGCAATTTAGCATAAAAAAGCCGAAAATGTACTCTATCAAAAATAAGAGTTTAATAACGGATTATGTATGTAATTCAATATTATAGTTTCACACTAGTGTTTAGGACGAAATCTAGTTTTTGCCGAACTTGATCTACAAATTAGAGTTTCGTACTTATAGAGGAATTGAAATAAGTTTGCTCGAAGCACTATTTCATCATAACAGGATTTCCTACTGCTGTTATCATTACTGTTCAAGTCGGCTTTCTTTTTAACATCAAAATTTATAATTCTCTTACCGATAATTATCAGAAAACATTGTGCATATTTAATGCATGCATAATGGCGCGTTTTCAAAGGTCCCATGAACATTTTGCGAAATTGAAACAAGTTTCATTTTACCACATTTATAATTTCTGATGTAATTTGCATTGAATTATGCAATGATTTCAACACAACGACGGTTTCTCCAGATCCTTTAAATGCATTTTATTCTATAATTCAGTCAATGATAGGGATATGAATCGATTCTCAACCCAGAATCGATTCTAAAATCGATTAATAATTTCCGATTATCATTTTACAGTGGCTCACACATGTAATCGAACACAAAAATTAACTTACTAGGATTTATTTCTATGACTATTAGTTTGAACAAAATAAAAGTGTTCATTTGAAATCTTGAAACCACTAATATTTTTTAAAAATAATTTAGCAACAGATTATTTGTGAAATAAAGTGATTTAAATCAAAATTTACAATTAGCAAATTTCTCACATTGAAGAACTTTTTTCTATGATGGATTCAAATTTGGACCACTAATTAAAAATGTTTTATTCTATGAAATCTACCTATTTACCAATTTTCATAAAAATTTCATCGAGATTTGAGACCCCGAAGGACCGAATCTATGTTAGGAGCATTAATTCATGTATTAATGCTCCTAATATTGATTCAGTTTTTAGGATCTTAAATATCTATAAAAATTAAGCCAAATTTTATGAAAATTGATAAATAGATAAATTTCATAAAATAGAACATTTTTAATTAGTGGTCCAAATTTGAATCCATTATAAAAAGTTCTTTAATGTAAAAAATTTACTAATCATAAATTTTGATTTAAATCACTTTATTTCACAAAATAATTTGTTGCTAAATTATTTTTAAAAAATATTAGTGGTTTCAAGTTTTCAAATGAACACTTTTTATTTTGTTCAAACTAATAGTCATGGAAATAAAAATTCTAGTAAATTAATTTTTATGTTCTGTTGCATTTAAACCACTATAAA